TTTGAAAAGGTAAAATTGACAAAAATGTGGCCATTTTGGCATCAGGTCAAAATTGTGCTATAAAAATAACACAGACCCTAAAAAAATTGTAATCATTAATCATAAACTGCAAACAATTATTCTATTAAAACATTAGACGTTTTTTCCGCAAGTCTATCATCGTTAGCTATAATCCATTTTACTTGATACTAAAATGCCCGTTTTAATGACAAATTGCTTTGAAAATGCTATTATTGCATCATTTTGACCTAATGACAAAACAATCTCATTTTGACCAATTTGAGTAAAATGTCCCTTCATGACTTAGGCTCTAATTTTTTTTTTATGCAAGCTTCATTCCATCACTTTAGCTACATACAAATTTATAATATTAAAACATCTTAAAAACCAAATATAAGATGCTATAAAAATCAATAAAAAATGTTGATTTTTTTTCGCTTAAAATATAGGATGCTATTTTTGGTGTCAAAAGTAGCATGTTATTTTTACCCTAAAAACTAAAGTAGAGCGTTATTTTTGTCTAGAAAATGAAAGTAGCAAGCTATTTTTTCGGCTTAAAATGAAATTCATGTTATTTTTGTCTAACAATGGAAAATATAATGCTATTTTTTTATAAAATGAATTTAGTGTGCTATTTTTTCATTGAATTTTGAAATAGCATGCTACTTTTACGTTAAAATTAAAGTAGCATGCTGTTTTTTTCCTTCAAATTGAAAGTAGCATCTTGTTTTTGTCTTAAAATTAGAAGTGACATGATATTTTTTTCTTGATAATGAAAGTATTTGATATAAAAATACATACTTTTGACATCTCCTGCCTTCTTTTATGCTTACTTGTAATTATAAATTCTAATGCTTTTATCAAGTATCAATGCTCAAGATCCATCGTAATGCAAAAAACTAATAATTGAAAATTAGGTACTATATGGATTATATGAAAACCATTAGTCTATAAGTAGTTATGATGTTTGTAGTTTCCAATCTTAATGTCATTAATGAGTAGTAACTGACATGATAAAAACATACATTAACAATGTCCATGTTAAGTGTAAGATATTTGGCACTATGTATCTTAAGTACAACAATGGAATAAGAAAAAATAAAATTGGATGTTGTACATGTAATACACAAATAAATAACACCTAAGTATGTTTGGAGCTAAGATTTGTGGTTGTGTTTTATAATACCATCTTCAATCCATTACACCACTTCTTGGACCAAAATTATATACTATTTACTATAAAAACCATTTTTTATTTTATCAAATGAACAAAAATACATTAAGTAAATATTACACATGTTTTATATAAAATATGTTAATTGTGTGTTTTTATTTACGTTAATTTTGTGTTTTTATCCAATACTATAGTGCTTTAAATTATTAAAAAGCATTAAATTATTGAATAAGTAAGAAAAATAAAATTTTAGCTTAATATATACCATAAATTAATATCCATTTAATTTATAATATAACATATTACATATAGAATATCATTACATAAATAATAACTTAAAATGTACAAAATTAAAGTTGAATAACAAAATCATACACCAAATTTGTAAATGGATAGTATAGTTCCATAAAGAAACAATTTTACCCTTTTCTTTCAAAAGTCATTCTTCCTTGCCAACACGTCTTCTCAGTGCATTCATTAATGACCCAAAATATAACGCAAAAACAATGCATGTAATTGTGATTACATTGTAAGGTATGCTAAAATCAAGGGTAGTCAAAGGAACAAAAAGCACTTCTTTGTTGCTATTTCTTGCATTTCGTCCTGCAATATTTTCCAAGTACAAAGTCTCAAATACGTGCAAATAGACACAATAGTGAAATGGAACAAAATATAGAGGATACAAAATCTTTGACAAATAATATTCAGTTAAATGCAAGAAATAGCAACATACTTTCATTTTTCCTATTAAACATTATACTTTGAAAAATCTACCAAATTATAATAATACAGTTCAAATACAAAGCAATTTGAATGGTATAATTGGTTAGATTTTGCAAAGGATACTGTTCTAATAAGGAATCATTTGAAAGTACAATGTTGCAATAGAAAGAAATAAAAGTAGGATGTTATAATATACAAGTAAACGAAAGTACATTGTTATTTCTTGCATTTAAATACATGCATCTTAGACACCATAGGTGACTTGATCGAAGAATTGTCCTGTTTATATTGCATGCGTGTGTACTGTAGAAGTCGGGGTGGCTGATTTATGGCAGATGGGATGTCAAATCCCTAGTTAGCATCTGGTGGATACTCATTTATAAGCAAGAAAACATGTGGTACAAGTAACAAAACAGTAAGTACAAGTAAATTGAGCACACTTTTAAATAATAAAATTTAGATGAAACCTGTACTTTTTCAAATTCTAAAGTTAATGAAGCTGATTTCATGTCACAAGGTAATTTCAAGCTCATTTCCATTAGTGCGGGGACAACTTATCTCTAGAATGCATTGTTTTGTTTTGTTCCTATAATGTAATGTTTAAAATGACCAAATACTAATTTTAATATGTTTTGACTAATTAAAATGACCAAAATGACAAAAATAGTATTATATGGTCAAGTTGACAAAGTACCAACTGTGTTCTTTTGTACCTTATATGTCGAATTTAAAATTACCAAAATACTAATTTTTACTATATGTTTTACCTGATTCAAATGAGAAAAATGACCAAGATGACAAAATATACTTAAATGGTCAAAATGATCAAAACGGTCAGACTGTGATCTTTTGTTACCATAATGTCATGTTTAAAATGTTGCGACTTTGTAGTTCTATTTTGAAGAAAATATGTGACTTTTTTTGCTATACACAGTTTTTTTTGCTATAAAGTTTAACATAACGGTTTTTCCTTAATATCAAGTAATGAAGACTAATAACATGACACTATTCAAAAGCATAAAAAACATATAATCAATACAAAAATATGTAATCACAAGCATGGAAATGTTGATTAAAAGAAAAAATACAAAATTTCAATGCCAAAGAAGTAGAAATACTTTTACCTCAACAATTTTACAATTTGCAGTGTCCTTTACCCCATCCTAAATTTTTAGGAACTTATAAAATAAATTGAGTGATTATTTAGTTGTAGGTCCTGAGGTCTTCATCCAAGTCACTGAAACCACCCAAAAAAAATCCATTAAACACAATACAAATTTCAGTTAAATACATGTGTAAATACATGGAATTTGGTCAATCTTTCCCATATAATGTTCAGAAGTCATGGATAAATACATGTATAAATACATGGAATTTGGTCAATCATTCCAATATAATGTTGAGAAGTCATGGATGGAAGGTGGAGATACCAATCCTTCCATTATACGAAATAGAAAAAACTACAATCAGGCCTGGAAACAATGAATCCACACAAATTAGTATTATACAAACTTAAAAAGGGAAAGAAGTTACTGCAATGTATCCTATCTACATTTCTTTTAACAATGGCTGGAAATAAAAATGAAACTGTAGACCATATATGAAGCTTAAGAGATGAAAATGAAAATCATACATGCATCAAAACATCACCCATAAAGGAAACAAATTGTATTAATTTTCATAATAAAATGGTGTTAACCTTGACTGAATTAACAATTATGAGATGAAAACTGAACAAAGTGTGGGAACCCTCGTCAGATAGCTTCATTTTGTAGAACACATCCCGCGGAATAAAGGTCAGGCGATTCTGAAATCAAAAACCCCAAGAAACTAAAAGAATCGGGTTTAGGTTTAGAATAAGATAAACGTAAAATTGATTTTGCATCAGTATGTGTGAACGATGGTGTTTGAGAAACTTACTGAGTAGGTTTAATTGTTCAGGTGTCTAACTCCTTTTTCTATTGCAAGTATCTTAGAAAATAGATTGGTAATATATATAACATATGTACATGTAATTGAATATAAACTTAGGAGTCCTATGAAAAACTCGCATAAAAGGAACTTACATGACTGATAGAAGTTTGTTTTGTTATTACTCCCACCTGTTGAAAAAATAATAATAATCCGCAAGAAAGAGGATTAGGGTTTTAGTGTGAGGGTAAGTAACATAGATGGGATGGGTGAATTTTGAGAGACGGGGAATGAGTATTCTGATATACAGACCTCTGAAATCGAATGAAGTCGTAGTCGAATTCCAATTTGAAGTTAAACTTGCTTCTCAATTCTGCAATTTATTTGTAGTTTGTTCTACCCTTTTTCCTTTTTTCCTTTTCAGTATCGATGGTAGTGGTAGTGGTGGTGCAGTGGCGGCTAGGTTTAGAGAGAAGACGATATGTATTGGTTTATGGGATCAAATCAAGAAGAGCAAAATTGAAATTGAAATACGTTTTTGGTGAAGGGCATATCGCCAATTCTTTGGTCAAGATCTTCTCTGATTGAAAATCATAATATTTGTGAAGTGTCTGTGTTTGTGATTTTCAAATCAGAACAAAAGAAAGTGTAAATCTTCTTCTTCACTTTCGATCCATGGGGGTGATGTTTAAGGGTTTGGAGATTTGCGAGGAAAAGGGAATAATTTATGGAAAATTCGAGAAATCAGCCTGCGGGATAGGGAGATTTGCCGTTTTAAAATTTTAAATTGCTGAAAAATTAGGAAGAAATAATAAATATGTTGGATTTAGGTTTCTATGTGCTTTGGTAACCATAATGTCAGCAAAATGATCAAAGGTGGAAAATTAAGGATTGAAGTGTTTTGTTTCAATTTAGAATTAAAGGTTCTCTATAAACAAGGACTATGCCTTAAGAATGGAGCAAAATGGGGTGAGGTGGATGAGTGTGGAATACGACGGGAAAATGGGGCGAGGTGGATGAATGTGGAATATGACGGGATTTTTGATGGATTTCTATGGAATTTTATGGGTATTTTTTATGATTTTAAGCAGGCTGGTTAAAAGCTGCTTTCTTCCGGGTCGGGTCTTGATGGATGGGTTGCCGCTCTATTTTTCTCTCTTGGATAGTCCATAGATGGATTAGTACTATTCCACTGAATGGGAGTATGTGCCACGCTATTATACATCGGCTACCGCTTATCGTTCCCATTTCCCAACATCCGTCTTATTCTTTCCTTCTCCCTCTCGGCCTCTCCGTCTCTTTTTCCTTCTCCACGAGTGCACCATCACCTCCCATCGACATTTTCTCTCTGTTTTCTCGACCTAGGGTTCCATCATTCACCACAATCTGAGCCCTAAATTTCTATCCTCTCTCATCTTCGGACAAAGTAGAGTTCTATGGATTCATTACAATCTACCATAACCAAAACAACTCTGTTTGCTCCAATAAGTACATTCAAGTTTCTTCTATCTCTACTTCACACTCAGGTTAAACTATTTGTTTGGTAATTTGTAGATTTTTATTACCATTTTTTGCATAAGATTGGTTCTGATAAGGATAAATCATCTTGTATTGGGTTCTCTCTTCCGATTAACACTGGTTCTACATCTATCATTTTGTAATCTTTTAAACTGCATATTGGAATTTTAGAGGGTATTTTGGTTTAACATACCTTCAGGTTAGAAGACACTGGTTGAGCTTAGTAATCGTCTCCTTTCGGTTTGAAGACCGCCCTGTTTCATAGAGAGGACAATTGGTCGTAATTCTCTATGCCCACCGCTTTGTCTCAAAGAAGACGCCTGATGCATGCAAATCTTGAACACTCTGTTATCTTCATCTTCTTTTTCTCTCCAGTGAACTTGAACTCTTTCTCTATCTCTCTCTGGCCTGCTTCCATTAACACTCAACTCTTCTTATTTGGCAATTTTCAGGAAGGTTCCCTTTTTCTCCAAATGTTCGTTGTCCTGTTGATTTTTAACTGTAGTTAAACAATGGGGGATTTCTTACACCATCAGAGAACACAAACCCAAGCTTAGAAAATGAACCCAACAAACTTGAAATTGAAGATGGAAGTTCAAAATTGAAGCTATTCAATAAAACCATCGAGGTTGAAGATTAGTAGGTAAGCCATTTTACCTTATTTCTTTCTTTTTCTTCTATGATTTAAGACTATAGAGCATCTTCATAACTGTTATCTTCTAATTCTATGGTTTAACACTACGAAGCATCTTCAATTTTTTTATGTTTACTTTTAGTTATTCGAAATGGTTCTTTTTTGTGAACGGAATCCACCATATGAACAAGGGATGAAGATGCACTCAGATTCGTTTGTTTTTTTTATTAGTTTTTTATTGGTAACCTTAGGCAATTTTGCTCTTTCTTGTTGTTGGGGGCTAACATTGACAATCTGGTAATCATCTAAAGCTCATACTGAAATTAAATGAAAAGTCAAAAGGTTAATATGTAACTATGTTTTATGCTTAATTACAGGAACTCACTGGCTCCTTCATTTTTAATGCTTTTTGCAGGCCTGGATCATCAAGTAGTTTTCTAGGCCTAAGATAAAGAAGGTATTGATTTCATTTTATAGTATGTAGTTTTTATTTACCATTATAATTATCTTATTCTAAGGTGGTGATTCTTTTATTCCTTTATGTTGTGTGGATAAAAATTCGAATGGATGAACAGTGTTTAAAAAACATAACAGAAAATATGTGAAAATAGTAAATGACAACAAATTTGTGAAAATAGTTAAAACTTAATGAGGAAAGCCTCTTCCCCGACTTTCTGTATTAAGTAGTTCCATCTTCATTAACTTAAAAAGAAGCATTCATGTATAGCTTTATGCATCAAGTCTATTAAGAAAGAAAAGAAAGATTATATTACTTCCTTTAGTTAAAAAAGGATTTTCTAATAGAAATAATACACCTTTCGGACTTTGGTAGCGTCTGAGTTAGTCAAAATACATACTAACAATTCATAAATTAATCTTTAATTTTTCCAACATCATATTATTTCATTTTTTATAATTTTTATACTTATTAAGTTCTAATCAATAAGAATGCACATTCAGGTCATCGGTGTTGCAGTCTTGGTATAACCATCTTTTGTAGGTCTATCCTTCTATGGTGACACCAAGTCTCATACTCATTAACAATATTTGTCTATATTAAGGTAATTTTCTATTTCTCCTTATTACTTGAATAAATCAACAATCTATTTTTCTGAATATGCAATAAATAGTGATGTACTTTCATTTCTATATGTTTGTTATAGCATCATACTTTTATTTGTAGATGAGCTTTTGGACATTGTTTTCGTGCATAATGGGAATATGGATGGCTTTGGAAAATATACTTTTATAACTATATAAGTCCATAATGTACGATTCAAATATAAATGAACTTGTACATCATGGGTATTATGATTGAAGTAAATGTAGTGGATCCGATTAAACGGAAATTATATTTTGTTAATTACAACTCTCTACAAGAAAGATTATGAATAATTTAAAGTTTGGTTTATCAAATAAAAGTCATCTACTTGTTTGTCCAACTCGATGAGTTTTACTTTTGCAATGATGCATTTTTCGTTAATTTCACATCCATGAAGAACCCGTCACTTAAATCTTTAATGTTAACCGGGTAACATGGGTTGGCTTTAACACACAATTCAAATTAGATAACCTATAATTACTGTTAATAGTTGTCGAATTTTTCTATGCTTTTATCCTAAAAAATGAGCCGTGCAATTGTGCTTTAGACCACTGAAACTTTGGTTTGTATAGAAAAGAAGCTTCAAAATAATTGTACTCTTGTATGTATTAATTAGCATATGTTAGTATGTGTTTATAACTTCCCATATTTCATGATCAGGTCCAAACTGAAGGATCACATGCAGTATTGTGTAGATCATCCTCAAGAAACCAACAAGGTTTCAAAGGTCAAAGCCCACCGTAGTCAAAGGTGTGATTTGGAGAACACTGAAAAGGTAAAATCATTTTGGGTGTTTATATTAAATAGTCAAACAAATACTTCTACAAGTATCTTATACGAGGTTGTTATGATATTGTAATTGACGGTCATTTGGAAAGTTGACAAGTTGGTGTTTGTTTTCATTTATACCGCAATAATCCTATTATACTTTTATTTCATTCCATTATAACATTATACTTATAATTTTTTTTATAAGAATTGTGCTTTGGAACACATACACAACTATAAGATTGTACTTTTTTATTAAGAATATTGTTTGAATTTATTTGTAACCCTTACATTTGGACCGGTCTTGGGTTGTTCTTAGCACGAACCTTTCACTTCCCTAGTATATATATATATATATATATATATATATATATATATATATATATATATATATATATAGGGGATAGGGAATATACATTACAGCCCGTACTAAACTTCTAAAATATGTCGTTTTAACATGCTAAATATACCCGGTTTGGTCATCCTCCACAACATTTCTTTTTTTCATTATCGTTTTACCATCTCTGTTTTCTTTCCACAATTATCGTTTATTAATTCATCCAAGTAAACATTACTAAACCCTAAACTTAAACCATAAACCCTAAATCTAAACCCTAAACCCTAAATCTAAACCCTAAACCTAAACACTAAACCCTAAATCTAAACCTTAAACCCTAAACCCTAAATCTAAACCCTAAACCCTATTGTGTCGATCTTGAATTTACATCTTGAAGTATTAATCGTGAATCCATTAACCGTAATCTTTATATAGTAAAACAATGTATTTTCAAGATGTTTAGTACCTAAACTTAGGTGTGGCTGTAATGTATATTCCTTTTTCCCATATATATATATTATATATATATATATATATATATATATATAATATATATATATATATATATATATATATATATATATATATATATACACACACACTTTGTCTATTAAACTCAAATTTGAATCATGCATACAAACCTAATAAGGAGTTGTAAACTATTTATCATTGAAGTGTTTTATCAAATAAGGATTTTGTGTGAACCGAAGAACGTAGAATAGAAAACGGGAGGACGACTATTAAACCAACAATAAATTTGAATAATGGGGGAATGAAAACATAGAAGAAGAACAAGAAATGATTCACGAATTGGTAATCTTGGTAATGGTTTTGGTTTTGAAAACAGCAGTGTTTAATTTTTTTTTGACACAAAACGCTTTCCTTTGGTTTATCCTTTTAGCGATTAGTCGATTACCCGATCCCATAATTCTTGATTGCTCTCAGATTAGACTCGGTGTCTAGAAACTAAGTGGTCCATTTACGATTATTCCAATCTCTTGGAAAAGAGTTTATCAAGAAACAATCTATCGTCTCTCGTCATGTAATGGCTGATATTGTTGTTGAGATAGTCCGGGTCACTCACTTACTTCGTGAACTTCAATGTGTAACCCAGGGTCGACCAACCATACTATGCGACAACTGGATTGCTCTATTTCTCTGTCAAACTCCTATCTCATAAACGAGTCAAACACATTGACATTGATTATCACTTGCTCGTGAGCTTGTATCATTGGGAAAGTTATACACTCGATTTATTCCAACAAAGCTTCAATTGGCGGACATCTTCACTAAAAGTCATCTTCGAGCAATTTTGTTCTAAATTACAAGCTAGACCTCTGCATATTCTGATGCAGGTGGTACAAGTGTTGATGCATGATGCAGGTGGTACAAGTGTTGATGCATGGATTGATTGATGATGTCAAAACCAGTAGGAATAAAAATATGATAACATTAACAACACATATGCCGAAGTGGTCTAACAGTACAGAATTAGACGAAATTTACACACGACGAGTAAAATAGGCCGATTAAGAAAACTTATCTCTTTGCTATGACATATCATGTTTTACGGCCATTCGGGATCGTTTAGGGCCTCAAAAACATGTTTTCTAATTTTTTATTATGACGACTTTATTTTTTTGGATTTTATTGAGATAATTGATTAAGAATTTTATCCTAATGAATTCTTATCTTCAAGGGTTAATGTATGAAGTTTATCTTCTCCTTATAAGTATTTCGTTTTCCTTGTTTGTTAGGGAGTTTTTTCGATTATCGATAAGAATCTGTTTCGGAGTTATTTTTTTGTTCTTTGTGTTGTTGGTTGTACTTTGTCATTCAACCTGATCGCCCTGACATCATATCCGTTTGAGGGAGTTGTTAGGGGTGAGCATGTGTCAATTTTAACCCCAAACATAATAGTATTGGTTTTCAAAATCTAAAACCAAACCCAAATCGATCGATTCGGGTCAGTGGCTTTAAAATTTTATTTGGTTCTAGGGTTTAACAAATTTAGACCACAAACCTTTAAACTAACTTCATTAACTTTGATAAATCTATATATAGAGGAGAAGGAAGACGAATATTGTAATATCCGATGTGGGACTCCTCATAGTTGAAAGGTAATAAGCTACCATGTAATGGATGAGATTGGGAGTGGATTCCATCTTATGATCGATGTGGGACTGCTTGAATGTGGCCGGAAAAAAATAGGATCGAACTTCAGAGCTCAAGTTTGAAGGTCGAAAGCGCTAACCACCTGACAACTTTATCTCTTATTTATATTATGCAGAGTTCATTTATAAATCATGCATGCATACAAAATATATTTTCTTAAAGACTTCATACAAATTGGTTTTGTTCGGTTTTCTCATACTAAAAACAGAATTCAAAATGAAATTTCCGGTTTTTAAAAATAGAAAGAAAAAAAAAAACTTTGGTTTTATGTTTGATTTTTCGATTTGCCGTTTTTTGTTCGACCTAGAAGAAATTAAGGATATGTCTCAAACCAAATTATGAACTGAAGATATTATTTGATTCATTGTTATGTACAATCATTGCATTATAAAAATACCTAATGAGATATCCTCCACAGTTGGTGATTATATAGCCTTCGACTGATGTTTTTAATTTTCTAAATAGTTGGCAAAAACAAGGTATAGTTTTTAGAAATATTGGTAAGTTTATGATATATGATGTCATCACAATATTGAAAGAAGATGGATATAAATAAACAATTTTAGTAAAAGAAAAACAACGTAGATGGTTTTGTCAATTTTGAATTATAAATATATAGGTATAATTTAGGACGCAAAGATTGGTTGATGAGGTTACATTTCAACTGTCGTATTAAATTGGTGTCTACATAAATCCCTATATATACATGCAATTTTTGCAATTGATTTCATTAATAAAAGGGTAAAAGGCTAGATTACATGATGGTTCCTAAGGCTTTTATTGTTATGTTTTTTGGGTTTTTGATTTGCAGAAATAACATTGTTGGTGGCAGAAAGCTTCTTGGAGAGGAGAAGCCCTCCCTTGGAGGAGGCATGTGTTTTCAATTTCCAATGATTCAACAAGTTTGTATTACACCAACACAAACTACACCGGTTGTAGTTACAACTATCGCAGCACCACCAGATACAAGTACCTATGCACCAACGCCAGCTACAACCGGTCCACAACAAGTTGGGGGTGTAAATGGTGGAGCTCTTGATACAGGAAATAGTATCTGGTGGTGGAGGTTGTGAGAAATGATGATCATGAATGAAATTACACAAATAATGCAAGTTTTAGAATAACTTGGGAAATCCTATTTAAATACTGTCTTCTAAATAAATATAAATATAAATAAATGCATGTATTATATTATAAAAATAAAAATAAAAATAAAAATATAGAGACATGAAATCAATAAAAGGCATGAATGTTATGTTGAAATATCTTTCTTCATCCATTGTAATATATATGTTATTAGCTTTATCAAACATAAAACAACTTGTTACAAGGATTCTACACACCAATTTGGGTGGTTAGAGTGGAGAGGCATGGGGGAGATACGTAACGCCTTCTTATGGAATTTGGTAAGGCTACTCCGGTGGCCAATACTTATATATGTCACACCCGCTTCATTTATTTTTTCATACAAATGAGCCTGCACGTAAAATATATATATATATATATATATATATATATATATATATATATATATATATATACAAGTAAGTTGCTACAAATATAATAAAAAAAATAAAAGTAGGATGCTAAGTACCTCGTTGGGTTCATCAAGGGCACTGGTGGATTCATCCAAGAGAACAAGATCTGGTTTTGAAAGCAACAAACGCACAAATGCAAGACGTTGTTGCTCACCGAGTGAAAGAACACTCGACCATTCATTGGTTGTATCGAGACCGCTAAAACGTGACAACAAGTACCCAAGATGTACATCTTCTAAAGCTTGAATTAATTCGTCTGTAGTAGGCTGTGGGGCCCGTTCGCTAACACGCTCCGAATCTGTATAATATATTTTTTTTATTGGTGTTGGTTTGTGATCACAAGTTTGGATTTCAAGACTGCATACCTTTTGATTGAGAGTCGTGTGGCGTGGAATCTGAAACATCGGGCCATGTTGGATAAAGCAACTGTTGTCGGAGGGTTCCTAAAACCATGTACGGCCTTTGGGGAAGGAAAAATACGCCTTTAAAATCCCGGTATTTTGATTTTTTATTTTCTTTATTTTCATCTGTTATTATGGTCTGATTAAGATTCGTGTTGTATTTAGCATAAAATGTGATCTTTCCACTTCCAGTTCGCCAAAGACCAGCAATAGCTCTTAACAAAGAGGTTTTGCCACTCCCACTTGGTCCAGTTATCAGCAAATGTTCATTCTCGTGGACTTCAAGTGATAAATCTCTGATAAGAAGGGCTTTATTTGTGGGAGTTTGTACAATTAAATTCTCCAGTTCCAACAAGTTTTGGGTGTCTGAAGCTTTCATGGACTCGGATAAATCCTTCACGTTGCAATATGTGAGTTGAATCTCATCCATGGCTTCCGGAGTACCATTAGAACTTGTTGAGTCCAAAACATCATCGAATTCCCCTGCAAATGATTGATTATGTAAAGTTTAGGGCTTGGATCTTGAAGTTGGAGGATTTAAATGATATAGATGTACCTAATCGATCAATGACAGCTGAAAAGGCACTGATGGACTGAAATTGAAACACGATGAGGGAAAAATCTCCAAGAATATGATTGAAGGCGGAAACAGACTGATTTATGACACCAAATTCAATCTTTCCAGAGAAATACATT